CCATCCATCTTACTGGGATAAGCGTTGCATTGAATGACATGCCTTTTCCATTCCATTTCTCTTCTTGGGACTGTATTTTTTCTTGGTTTCTTCCACTGATCCTCAATTCCCAGACATGAGAGGTCAGAGCTTGGTGCCACACAAATCTAAAATCTCCAGTGCCTGAAGCTTCACCATGCAGAGATGAGTGCAAGACCAGCTTTGCAGCCCGGCCCCTTGCCATCACTGGTGAGCAGCAGGTACCCACAGACCTTAAGTCTGTGCTCCCTTAAATATCCAGTGCTGCAAAGCGGGAGCTGTTTTTAAGCAATTTAGCTCAGATCTCACTAATTTTGTGCACACTGCCTCAGAGCTAGGTCTGGGCCATTGCCCTTGTCTTTGAAGTCCATTGCATTTGTGATTTTCTTTGATCCTTGCTGTGAAAATGACTGAAATGTTTTTCTCATAAGTTTGTATGCACACAGGCATAAGAGGCCTGAGAACTTCAGTAAAGGTGAAATATCTGACCTTATCTTGACTTTGTTAGGATTAAAGTAACATTAAATAGGATGAAATTATGTTATAACTACCTTGAGAGACTAATGAGGAGGGAGGAATATTACTCTACTGCTTCTATCAATATACTCAATACATTAAATGGCTGTGAAAGAGCTTTGCTAGCAAGCTTAGTGTGCAGGGATCTGAAAATGCCAGACAGTACCTTAGGGTTTCTAAGGCACCTTCTTTCGCTGAGTTTCCAGTGGTGGCACTTGATACCCAATATCTCAAAAGGGACAAAATGTCCCTGAAAAAAAAACAAAATGGAAAAAAAAAAATCCATTCTTTTCCCACTTTTTCTGAGCAGAAAGGTCACAAAAAAGGGAAAATTTGGTTTTGCTGACGAAATTCTGTTCTTGCTGCATTCTCCCTGATTTCTGGAATTTCCCAGAACTGTTCCATGCACTGAGCCACAAGAGAGAAAGAAAGAACTCTTTGCCCCACTATACTGTGCTGATTATCCTGGTTTGGCTGATTTCTTACTCTACATGGCTTCATTATAAAAACTGACTTAGGAAACAGATCTCTGAGTCACTGCATTTAGTTCTTGCAAAAGCCATCCAAAGTTTAGAGGTGATCAAGCAGGGGAACAACGCTAGGAATAATGTGGAAACTGCTGAAGAATAAAATAATGGCATTTCTTCATTTTGATTATATAAGTCTGTGATAAACCAGTTGACAAACCCCACTTGTGATCATCTCCTCTGAAATAGTTAGACGGGAACAAGAAAGGATGGAGAGCAAGAAAACAGGAGTGTGGTCTGGAAGGAATAAATGCTCCATACGAGGTAAGCTGAGCAAACATTGGACCCATTGGCTATCCTGCTGGGCTTTCGACTCATGAGTGATATTGAAAACATAACCAGGGAACAATTACTCATCCTTGCTCACAATGCACAAAATATTTTCTATACTAAAAGATTTTTTGGTGAATAGCTAAAATAAATCCCCAAATCAAGCTGAATATTTTGCTGCTTTGTAAGTGGTAACTAGGGAAAGAAACTGTATAAGGCTTGCATTTTCATTTGAAGTATTACTGTATGTTTTGATTCATTTGGCTCAGTTCATGATATAATGGAGCATAACTGATGTAACTTGGCTTGATGTGTCTCCTTGTTACACATACTGGAACAATATCTGCAGAAACAGTTGAAATTACAAATTTTTTCAGACATCTATTTTAAGGATCAGTAACTTCAAACAAGCAGAGCACTTAGGCATATTTTAAAGGCTTATTTCCTGCAATCATGCATGGGTCATGGCTTAATCCTCATCAGAAAGCACACATTTTGGGATCCTGATTACAGAAGGAGCAGTGAAGGAAAGACACAGAAAGAAAAGGAAAATTATCAGAGTTTTCAAAAAGAGCTCAGAGATCTTGCACCCAACCAGCAAATCTTTGATGCTAATTTAGAAGAGAGCTGATTATTTAAAATTCTTAAGGAGGGACCCCAAGAGGCAAAACAAAGTTGATGATTCAAAATATCTGTTAGGAGAATTAATGTCACTGCTCAGCACTGTGTGTCCATATGCGACACAAAGGACAGGCTTTGGAAGAATCAGCTATCCTGGCAGGGAACAGACAGCCTAATGGGAGGAGCAGCTAAATCCAATATTTCTTATTGAATTATGGGATTTCTTATCACTTTGCAATAAGGTTTTTAACAGTAAAGCAGGCCTGTGAATTATTTTTGAGAGAAAGAGTAGGGTGGCTTTGCTTGACCTAAGCACGGCTTTTGCCAAATGAGATGGGAGGCAAAAGGATCTTGGTGTTTTGCTTAAGAGAAGTAAAAATACAGCTTTCTGCAGCAGGTAAGAACTGGATTCCAGACCACTTTGAATAAGTTAAGCAAATAATTACGTGTGAATAAATTATTAAGAAAAATACTAAATACATTTCTTAATACATGCCATATGGTTTTTTTGCAGCTTCTTAACAGAAGGCTCTTAAAAGAATACACATTGTCTGCATATACTTTCTACAATCACCTCTTAATAGGCAGAATACTCATTTAGTGGATATTTTAAAAACTTATAAGCATCCCTTTGAAGTCTGCGAATATATGGTGGAAGTCTGTTTATTCCTTTCTCTCATACCTAGATGAAGTGGCAAACATCCAAATTTCTTAAGTAATTTAATTTAAGGAATTTGGATATTTGACAGTTGAAAAGGTTTTCATATTTTAAAAATGAAGGGAGTTTCCTTTGCAACACTATTTCATTTACTTTCACATGTCATTAAAATGCCAGTATTTCTGGAGTATAGGAATTTTGAAGATATTCTGTTATTACAAATTAATGTTATTCTTGCTTTTAAGAATGTTTCCAAATGTCCTGAGACAGAGCCTCGTGTTCATTGGAAGCACTCCCTTTCTCCTCACACCTTTCTGTTCAAAGGTTTTGCCAACTGATGTGGTTTACAGAAGCCTCCAGGCTGCTATCATTTGTGCTAGCAGAGTGACCTTGGACTGATCAGGCAAAAAATGAAGGGAGCACAAATCATGCCAGTATTCATCTTCATTCCCACCCTTTATACTCCACTCATTGTCCATAATCTCCCAAGATACTCCTCCAGAAACTGGGTTATGGCTGTCCTACCCCTCCACATTTTTACCTGATGCCTGGTGATGTCCACAGCAAGACAGAGGTGTTTCAGCTCCACGGGCATAGGATCTGGCTATTGGCTCTGGTTCAGGTAGATGAAGTGTGGCAAGCTGAGGCAGGATTTTAAGGCCTATTTAATCAGTCCAGTAATTCAAAATTTGATGTGAGCTTGAGTTGTTTATGTACCAGAGAGGATTCTGCTCCTGGAGGGATTCTGACCTTGCTGCACTCTGTGTACACTGATTATTGGAAGTGCTGCAACCAAACAATGTCTTGAGCAACAGCAGTAATAACAGTGTAAGAAGGATAAGAGAATATTTTAGGAGATGTTTCAGCTGTCTTGCAGGAGAGAGCTCCATGCTGCTGTGGCTGCTTCTCCAACAGTACCTGAACTGTTTAGGTTTAAACCCTGAGACCCACATAATGCCTTGACTATGGCGCAGGTATTTCTATGGCAAATCCTGTAAGAAATACTTGACACCTTTTCTCTCAAAGCATCACTGACTGGTCTGCCTAATCTAGCTGATGTATAAGGCTACATAGGAGCCTGGATGCTGTTCAGGTGCTACATTCTCTAAACTCCATCATGATACAAGTCCAACTGTGGTGACTGAGTCTTGCCTTACTGGGCAGCTGGTGGTTGTCAAGGGTGTTTTCAAGCCTTCTGTTGGTGGAGAAAAAGCCAGAAAGGCCAGGCTGCACATTTTGTGAAAACTGGTTTGTAAATTCCAGATTCAAATATTTTGATTTTTAAGCTCAAATTTCATCTCACTACTGTGAAAAGCCTGTTACTCCCTACCTGTTACACTCAGAAGCACTTCTGCAGATGAAAACCAACTTTCCATCCTGCAACCTCCCACAGACATATGCACACACATTATGTTCCCAGTTTAATTGCCTTTCAAAACTGTCTTATCTTGGCACAAACTTGTCATTGGTTTATCTCTGCTCAGGATAAATGTATACCTAATCTTATTACTGGATGCACTCAGAGCAAGCAATCTCATTAATAGCTACCCTTAAGGGATTTTTATCCATGGATCAATTTCATAATTGGAACGCAGCTACATAATATATAAATATATCCCTTCAATGGCACAGCCGTCCTCATGCTGTTCAGTCTTGCACATCTCATGAAAAAAAAAAATCCAGAAAGAAAGAATGTATTTTAAACCCAGAAATCCTTCTTGGAAGCTTGTTAAGTTTTCAGATCACACCACAGGCTTACAAGCTTGATTTGTCGGGTTCATGATTGTTACTGGCTATGTGAGTTCTATCGTATTTAGCCTGGATAGTCACTAAGAATAGTTTCCCCTATTCTTGGTGGCAGTGCATTGAACTTTGTATGCTCTTTGTTGTAGCATATAGATTTCTATAATGGGAAAAACCTAACTTGTTAGCTACATCATTTTCAAAAGCAGCAGGAGCTGTCTAGCTTTTAAAAAATTAAATTATGTTCATTATTCCATGACTGCAAAATACCCTACTAAGAGTGTAATAGCTTAAAGGCTTCCTATGCGACTTTACTTCATCATTAAATAATTATACTTTGTGTACCTGAACTACACTTTTGTCGCATCTCAAATACAGGATAGTTAGTGAGTAGGAGTCTCATTACTGAGGCTGAGTGAACTATTCATAATTAAACCTGAACCAAGCAAAACTTAATTTTCCAACAAACTTCCATTTAATTCTATCCAAGCCCTAGCAAAATAAAATATACGTTTACTGCACCCAAGCCACAGCAAGCATTACTCACTTTGGAGTCTGTGGGTTCCCAGCCCCTGCCACACTTCTGCCAGGATCATTACATTTCTGATAAAAAGGGATTAATTTTGTTTCTCCCTCCCACTCTGTAGGCACACAGTGAGGATGGGCATTACTGTGGCTCTTGGAATGCATGCATAAGAAATTAGTCAGTATTTTACAGTTCTACCTATTTGTAGCTGCAAGCCATGCAACTGCACACAAGGTTTTTCACAATGACACCACTGGGCATTGCCAGCCAGCCATTTAAAATGTGAGTGAAATTATTGTTATAATTCAAAAGGCGGATAGTGGTTTCAGTGATAAAGGTGATAAACTGAAAAACAGCCAGAAGCGTAGAGTTACTGTGTTTGATTATCAGCAGATCCCAAATCGCTCAAAAAAAAATCACATAATCCTCACCCAGCTGCCCATAGTCATCTTACCCAAGGCTGCCAACAGCAAAATATTCTGTCTCTGCCAGTGCGATGGGAAACGGCTTGCAATGAAAATAGAGACATTCATGGATGTGTGTTCTCATTGCAGTTAACGTGGGACTTGGCTGCTGCAGGGGCACAGGACAAGCTGGACTGCACTGACTCCAGAGGCAGTTCTCATGAAGAACTGAAGTGTCCGGGCACTCAGGTAAGAAGCAGGAAAATCCCTGTTTAGATGGAGAGGTCAGAGCCCAGAGTGGGTCAGCTCATCTGAGGCTGCTTGCATCACTTTGCTGTTGGAGAACTCTCCTGCAACTTTATAAGCGCTACCAGAGCTAAGAAAGGGAAAATAAAATGGCCTCATGTTAGTAACAAGACACCCAGTTTGAGTCATGACGGCAATTCACCAGCAGACCTTCTTCCTGAGGGATGTGATGGATTATCTGCTGCTTGCAGTCTTTAAATCGAATCTTTCCATAACACAAGCTACATTTCAAACAAAATAGCTAACTAAAGCATGCAGGAAAGAAGGAAGGGTTGGAAGGGCAACTGATTGATAGGGAGATTTCTTTTGAGCATGCCATTCAATTGCTTCATTTATATTTCATTAAGCGTGAAATTATGTTTATAATTATATTAGACAACTGTGTGAGAGATATTAGCTCATAAGCCCAGACTGAATTAAAACAATTATTAATTAATTATTATTCTGGGCTTTCATTTTTAATGAAATTATGCTTCTGAATTCAAAGCACTAGTGAAGGCATGTTATTTTACTTTGGAAAAATACCACTCTGATTGGCTCCTGAGTAACTGAGAAAATAGGAGTAGGTGTTATTTAATGCAAACACCATCTCATCCAGGAATGCACTTTGCATGATATATAAGGAGAAAAGAAGCTCCAAAATGGGCAAAAGGAAGAAAATCCTGTCTAGAGGTTGTGCTGCAGGGAGGTGGTGCAGCACACAGGGACAGCAGGGGTGGCTATGCAACACACAGGGAAACCAGTGAGGAGGAGGCCAAAAGCACAGGAGGAGTTAAAAGAAGAAAGAGACAAAAAAATTATTCAAAGCAGAAAATAATATGCAGCCATGGGAGGTGTGAGAAATTAGCACAGAGCATCACAGCCAGCATCACATGATAACCTGAATGTGTGCTTGAGCCCCTGCAGCATTCCCCTGCTTAGCCATGGCTTCAGCCAGCACAGTCAGTCCTTGTGACACAGGACTAAAAGAGACATAAAAGACCGGCCAGCAGCCAATACTTCTTGCTAGGATCTGGCCTCATCCACAAACCCCTGTGCAGTGGGAGTGATGGCTCGAAGCAAAATGGGACCTTCTCTGTAGTTTGTGCATATGCAAAAATCAGAGCTGAGGTTTATTTCATCTGTAATCTATCAGGGCTATGCCTCCCTATTATATTTTCTACTTCTTCCTATGATACTAATACATATGCAAAAATCACTTGGACTTCAAAAGGACATTCTCAGCTGGTGTAAGAGCTGAGGATATTTCCTGAGGTGTCGCAGATATGGGCAGCTTTCATAAAAAAGCTCATATCTTTAAGGCTGTGCTGTGGCTCACGAAAAGTTCTTCAGTTCACCTTCGTGTATTTTTCTATTTCTTTCCAGATCTCAGTTATTCTGTTAATGATTAAGGATCTCAAGCACTTTAAAACAAAGTTTTCACCTTCAGATACTTTTCCAATCTGTGTGAAAAGAACAGGCTCCTTGCTGGCATTTATCTTACAGTGTGCTCTCTGGCACTCCAACCAAAAATATTTTGAAACACGTTTCTTTTCAGCTCAGAGCTTTGTCAGTGCCAGGCAACCCACTTTTTAGTTTATTTTTAAATGCTGGTTTTTTTTTGGCTTTTCCTTTTCTACTTTCTTTTCCTCTGTGTGCAGCCGACCACATGGTTTCATTCACTGCAACAGCTGATTGCAAAATTAGACAAATACTTTGACTTTGCCCATGGCTTTCATGGCTTCTGTATCTCTGAAGACTCCATTCACCTCTAATTACATGTCCATTGAAATCATGCAGAGAAAGAACAGTGTAAATCGTTAGCCCCCTAAACGAGCGTGCAGCTGAGTAGCTAACAAAGGGATTAACACTTGACAGTAGAAGCATTGCATGCTGAAGGAGAGGGTCATCAGGTGACTGCCTATTACACAGAAATAATTGCCATCCAGTGCTGAGAGGAACTGATGTCCACAGCCTGTGTTTACTGCAAAGATGCATTTTCTCTCAACTCTTACCCTTCTGCTTTATCTGTCTTTACAGAAAACAAGGAGAGCCATTGCTGGGCAGGGAATGGAGAGATGAGAGCTTGGGCAGAGGGAACCAGTGTGGACTGGCTGGGGAGCATGAAAATGGGCTATGGAAATGCAAGGTGATTTGAAGCCCAAGGACATTCAGTAAGAACCTTCCTATTGAACAGAGGGCTTCTGCCCCCTAAACAAAACCCATATATTTTAGTTTTTTTTAATACTGCTTTGCTTAATCTTCCATTGCCATAGTGTGGTATCTTTATACAAAGTTGTTTGTATTGGGGTTGGATTTGGTTGTGGGTTTTTTTTTTTTTAGATCTTTAATAAAGAGCATATAAAGACATAATAGAAATATTTTTCTTCTCCCCTACCTAGCCTTTTGTTATTTAAAAGCACTTTATGATTCAGGACAGTAACCACATTACAGTGAGAATTTCATAGATTAAGATATCCCCAGACAGCTAATATTTTACCTTTTTTAGAATGCAATTCTTATTCATGGATCTTAAAAGATCTGTTAATTCCGTGGTCACTATGAAGAAGTACCTATGGAGCATTTAAAAATGCAGTAACAATTACTAAATAGAATAGGAGGCTGAGTTAGAGGATAGTGGTCATCACTGTCATCATGTGCTGTTGATGGATTACTGGATTGTGCTTGCTGAAAACGTGCTACTGCGTTAGCATAATGTGATATGGAATATCCTGTTATGCAATAGGAGTGATCTTGCAGTTTGGAAAGATTTTGGGTAAGACTTCCTGCTGGAATATATACTCATCACTCTGTTGAAGTCATTGCAGCTGTTATAATTCAAATGGGCTGAGATTTGTTCCCTTGTCTTGAAGCAGACAAGGACAAAGTAATGCCTAATGTTAGGGCAGCATTCAGCACATGGTTGAAGTTGAGCAGAAAGGGGCTTTATGCTGAATTTCTGAGCAGGATGTTTTTTTCCTTTGTGCTCTGTCTTGAACTGTTTGCAATGTAAAACTTGTGTCCCAGTGCATGGCTGGGATTTCCCTGTGAGCAGTGTCTGGGGCTGGCATCTGTCTGATTGTTTTAACCTTATCAACAACACATGCTGGAAAACTTTTTGTCCTATTCTGGAAAAAGGTGCCATTCCATAGCAAGTTAGCTCAGCCAAAGTAATTTAACTGGACTATACACAGATAAGTAAGTTTGGCATTTTTAGCCCAATTTAAAGACAGCAGATTTTGTGCAGGCATTTTAAGTTATCTGATGAGCCACTGAGATGAAATATCATAAAGATACATAACTGAGGCTGAGAAAAGACTCAATAGCAGTGGGGTGTATTGTACAATGTGAAAAGGATGTTTATATCCAAACATCACACGCACAACTGAACATGAATTCACATTAGATCAACTTGAACTTCAAACATACATTTATTAGATACAGATTGAACAACTGCTTTTTAGGTAGTGAAGTACTGATATCACAAAGGTTTTAATCTGATGAAATATCCGACTTCTAAAAACCCAAACATGGCTAATATTTTCAGCAGCTTTTTGAACAGCAACACCTGAGCACAGGTGATGATACTTAATAGTCTGTTATTATTAATGTCTTTTTTGGTCTTATTACTTTCTGTATCTTTAGTGGCATGTCAGTTTTGCCATGACAAGCCCTGTAGAAATTTGTAATGAGTGAAGCTGAAGACATGAATCCACTTCTCTGCTACTGACATTGTAATACTTCATTACAGAGCATCGACAGAGCATATGAGGTGCATGCTGGTGCCCAGGACTCAGGGTCAATAAGCGTGTACACAGTCACCACATTCCCTGTGCACGTGGCCTCTGCCCAGCTGAACAAGTAGTTGTCACTCACATAGCAGCTCTTTCCACCAAGCACAGTGGAGGAATTCATGAGCAAAGGCTGAAGGAAAAGCTACGGAAGAAGTGACTATGGGAATAATGGGAAATTTATGCATGAGTCAATGGTTATCCCACAGACCATCTTCCATTCACTATGGAATACTTCTTTCTCATCTGATGAAGTGACATCTGGTTAGTATATTTGCCGGATTATTTAGTTCTCTGCATCACTTGGAGCAATGTAATCTCTCTAATTGGTACGCAGAATTTTTTCCAGTATGGTTAAAATAGCAGATTCTGTGTTTAGCTTCTTTTATGGTTGTTTTTGCTATCAGCCCCAGAAATCATGCAAAAGAAATGATTTTGTCTAATTTTGGTTTTATTCATTCACAGACTCACCATATTTGCAGCCTTTGAAATAATATTTAGGTCTACATATAGAGGAAATAAAATGCCTTAATTAATTTTCTGCATCACTGAGATGGAGTTTCAGTCAAATGGGGAAGGCGGATGTCAGAGCAAGCCATCCTAGAACCAAGCCTCCAGCACTATTTGGGAGCAAAAGGTAAAATGAGACAGTAGATGAGATGCAAATGCTAATTATAAGAGCTTTTTGGATGAGATAAGCAAATCTCCTTGTAATCTTAAATAAATCTGAAGCTTTCATGCTGTGTTCTCACCCCATCCTGAGTCCATCATGCATTTGCATTTTATTTCTGAAAACATTCCTCACTGCATTTTGATGCTTCAGGCAACAGGAGATGAAAAGACTTTTCTTTAGTGTTAGTTGTTAAAACCCTAAAGGTTATTTCCTGAAGATAAGAAGGTGGTCTCTGCCTTCACAATAGCACAGATTTTCTTTAGTATAAACAGACCTGTTTTTAAAGGCTAGCTAGTAATGATCCCCTCAAAGATGTCTGGGTCTTTCAGAGGTAGACCTACAAATCCATCACTTGGCTGGAAAAGCTCTTCATCAGGAACATGCTCCAAAAAGGAAGACTTGGAGACTGAGTAATAATGTGAGTGTGCTAGAGGTAAAGTAAGCAGGGTGGTATCATGGGTTTTCGTTGGGCTTTTTTGTTGTGTTTTCCTTTTTTGCTATAAGTGGCTGTATTATAGCATGGATACTACTGATGGGATTAATATTTCTCAACAGATTGTATATGCAGTGTTAGACTTTCTCATACTCTACTTTAATTTCCTCAGGAGGCTTTTATTCCGGTCTGTCTAAACAGTTTAGCAACATTCATTAGGCCTCCTGACACCTCAGCTATTGATTAAGAGAGCTTTCGATGCCCACTTCACAGAAGCGGTCATCCTGAAACGCATTTAGTTGGTGAGAAGTGGGCAGAAAGGGCTGAAGTATCCCAGGTTCCAGGACAGCAACAGACATCATAAAGAGGTTAAGAAAAAATTTCCTTTGCATAAGGACAAAACTGAAAGTGGTGATTTTGAAGAGCTTGGAAATAAAAAGACATGACAATAGTCTTCTAATTCTCAAAAAGTCTGCAAAGAAGGGGTGTCTGAAATATTGTCCAAGTCACCAAAGGGGCAAGAAAAGTGCCTGGCTCCACATGCAGCAAAGGTTTAAATTAGAGATTTGGAAAAGCTTCCTAACGAAGGATACTTAATTACTGAGTCTGGCTGCTGAGGAAAGTTGTAAAGTCTAAGTTATAAAGGACCAATTAGAGTAACACCTGTCTGGAATGGGCACAGCAGGATTCTGCTTCCATGCAGTGAAAATGGACTTAAAGTCTCTATCATGCTGTGGTGCTATTTTGTATCCCCCCAAAACCCCACTCTGGTCCCAAGATTTCATTTTTGCTAGACACATATGTTCCTAGACTGTATGCAGGTCGTCTAAGCTCAGCTGTGAGTGCGTTCAGTCTGTCTCACTTCCATAGCACTAGCCTGTCTGGGAAAAAAAAACCACACTGTAAACCCAAATTATGTGAGATCAAAGTCATCTCATGAGGAAGTCATGCAGATTGAAATTAATTTCATTATTCTGAGTAGAGCAGCCAGTGTTCCCTAGGGAAAAATGCATCTTCTTGCCTCTTGAGCTGGTACCCTAGCTGACCTAGGAATGTTGGAGAGAGGGTATTTCCCTACAGTCCTCAGTGAGGTATGCAAACGTTCTCCTGGTTTCCACAGACACTGTGAATGCATTAACTTTGAATGGTTCCCTGAACTGACTGATTCGGTTTCTTGGTGCATTGTATGAGATGTTTGGATATGCATTCACAACTCTGGATTCCTCTCTGAAAGCCAGGATCCTTCATGCCGAAGTCAGTGCTGCTTCCTAGGGTTCTAAATCCCTGAATTTAGTCTTAGTCATGAGTTGCAAGAATGCTATCCAGCATTGTAAGTAAGTCAGCAGCATCCCCCAAATAAGATGATAAAGCAGCTGTGTTGGCTCTAGAGCAGCTTAACTTTAAGCTTCTGAGTATGATGAATTATTGTTTAAGGAGATGTATTCATAATTCTGTTCCTTCCAAGCAGGTGGTTGATATTTTGAGAGCCCTGCTGTATCAGCACTATGTATATTTGGCACAGAAACTGCATGAATATTATAAATTCTATGTTTAATTGGGTCTCATAAAGAAATCCTCTAAATCATAGTCATCCCATCAAACAAAACAGGAAATTGACATGGTGAGGTATTCCGTAACATCACTTCTTTTTTCCCCTAAAGGTTAGACAAAACTTTGTTATTTTCTTAGAAGAAAAAAAGATGAGAGAGTCAAGTATCTTTGATGTAGTCCTATTTATCTGAAAGTAACAGAAAATCCTAATTCTTAGCACAGAAATCAAGTAATGTGAGAAAGTACTTTTATATACAACACCAAGCCTCCCTGAGCTAGCACTCAGCCAAAAAAAGCTCTCTGTTTAGGCTTTCAGCAAGACCACAGTGCCACTATTCATTCAGGTTGCATCCTATCTTTCCAGCTTCTTTATATCTTCCTTGAAATATTTCTGTATCTCTGTCTCATGTATTTTTGGCATAAAATACCACAGTATCATCGGCTATACATTAGGTGGTAATACTCCTTCATTGACATTTGTGACTGTTAGGTGGCATTGTATGGTGGGGGGTGAGAGTTGCTGTTGTTTCAACATACTGGGGCTGCAAAAATCCTAATGTGCTCTGTTTTTCCTGAATAAGAGTTCTTTCCATAGAACTATGAGGCTATGATAAAGGGACTGTCATAATAAATAATAGAGAGACAGCTCAAACGTGTGTGAGTCTTACCTAATAAATAAGGGTAAAATACACGTACCAATGCAAGTAGAAGGAGATTTATATTTAGTTTCCTTAAGTGGTTTTGAATCTGTACATGACTGAAAGTGCTTTCATTGTTAACGTATTGACTTCTCCATGCCATTTGATTCAAGTGAAGTACTATTTGCACCTATTTTATCTATAGTACCTCTATTACATCAAATCAAACCAGAGGCAAGAGACTTGTACTAAAGGAATGCAGTTCCTTAGTCAGCTGTATCTGGCAAACTGAATAGAGGGATTGGGGGTTGATTTTGGCACCTGACCTGCTTTGGCATCTTTTGCCTGCAGAGAGTTTGTCATGGGAGACAATAGCTTGCTACAAGGAGCAAGAGAGAGGCCAGTGAGCCTGCTGGAACACTCACTAAAACTTGTGCATGACTGCATTTTCTTGACAGGCTGCTTCAAGTGCTCTCTAGAGTTATTTGATCTGGTCCTCCACACCCTGTTCACACAGCTTCTCTATACTGCTCTTACTGTGGAATTCATCACAGGCTATTTTATCTGGGTGACAGCTGAGCATACACAGGGTTTCGAGTCCATGCAGTGCATCTACAAATAGTCAGACTGCTGTACAAGGTCCCTGGCCTTGCTTATCAGAGTGGAACGGCTGGGAGTGCCTTTCTTGATAGGCCAAGGTGATCCTGAAGCATTGCACCCCAGGCAATTGTGAGTCCTAGCATGCAATAGGCAATCCGTGCACTTACTTGTCACATGTGAGGGAAAGGTCCTATTTGAGATTGTTTGCAGATCTGTGTTGAAAAAGCCTCTTTGATACAAGCGGATTGTCCAGGTATGGCAGGAACTGTGATAACATTTGAACATGACAACTGTGTTGCACAGTACAATAGCAATGTTAAAGAAAAGCCACTCACATTAGCAGCTCTCATGCTGAGTGTAAGGGAAACCCCAGAGCAAAGGGCGATCTTCACTCCATCTGCCCCGGTTTTCGTCCTCTAGCACAAATGAAAGCTAGTGACAAGTTGCAGTTGTGTCTTTCAGAGATGTCTATTTTGATCTTGTTCAGCAGCAACGTGTACCCCAAATCCATAAATCTGCAGACGTTTCAGGAAGAAAAAATTACAGGGGATCAAAAGGAAGCTGGCAAGAGGACAAGCAGGGGAAATGATGCCTGCTGCTGGCTTTCAGTTTGCTTAGGGAAGTGGGAAATGGGCAGCACAATCTGAGAAATGAATACAGTTACACTTAGTAATATATGTGGTTTACTGTTTTTTCCCTCTTATCCAAAATGATCCAAGACAAAAATTGGCCCAACAGCTCACTGTGGGGGAGCAGGAGTGCTGTTTCATGCACCAAAGGGTTCACTGCAAGTATGAATAACTATAAAATTAAGTAATAGTGACTAAGATCCTTTGAGCAGGCAGGATTTTACGAACATGGGTGAAGGAGAGCTGAAATGTATTGGAAAGACCATGCCCAAATGGAATTTTCACATTTTTCCATTACACAGAAGAAAATATGTTGGCCACCAGAAAACAGACTGAGCTTTATTGCAATAGAAGTCAAGAAGTAACACTCTGAAGTCATTGGTATAAGCTAATTAGGTATGAATATACTTTAATACGCTAACTAATACCTGCGCATGGTTTCCTGTCGATTTAAGGGGGACTATTTGTACAGCAAATTACTGCTGTGTGGGAGTAAGTCTATGAGTATCCAGGTTTCTGCTAAAATAAGATTTCATGTCCATTAGACTATCCAGCAACAGGAAATCTCTCAGGCGCTGCAGTTTAGGTGAAGATTCAGCTCTTGGAGTAGAATCCATTTAACTTTGGATTTGGAAAGGACAATGCTGGAAGTTAGGGAGCAGCAGATTTATGTGTCACTGAATTATAATGTGGAGGATATTTCACAAATAACCTGTCCTCTGAAACTGCTGACTGTAAGATGCTTTAGGAATAGTCACATTTTGCCACAAGTACAGAAAGCTCATCTTATCAGATGACTTAACAATGCATCTCACTTGCATAAATGAAACATTTATGTTCTCATTACAATTATGAGAACATCTTTCAGTTATTATGCTACCTGGCAGCAAGGTGAAGGGTATTGATCCAGGCCTATGGTTTGTTTACAAACCATATTTATATCATGACTCTTAGTGAGAGCCTTTTTGGGGAAAAAACAGAGGATATGAAATGCTCTTAGACATTTGTCCTGGGTTCAGCAGTAGCAGTCATTTCTCTCCTTCTTAGTAGCTGGTGCAGGGCTGTGTTTTTGACTTTCAGCCTGGGAACAGCACTGATAACACCGATGTTTTTAGTTGCTGCTCAGTAATGTTTACTCTGATCAAGGACTTTCTGAGTCTCATGCTCTGCCAGGGAGGAGGGGAAGCCCGGAGGAAGCAGAGACAGGACACCTGACCCCAACTAGCCAAAGAGGTATTTCATACCACAGCACGTCATGCCCACTATATAAACTGGGGACAGACACCCTGCTCAAGTCAGGCTGGGTATCAGTCAGCTGGTGGTGAGTGGTTGTATTCTCCTCCCTTATTATTTCACTTATTATTATTGGTGGTAGCAGCAGTGGTTTGTGTTATACCTTAGTTACTGGACTGTTCGTATCTCAGCCCATGGGAGTTACATTCTTTCGATTCTCCTCCCCATCCCTTTGGGAAAAAGTGAAGAAGGTGGAGAGTGAGCAAGCGGCTGCATGGTTCTGGGTTGTTGGCTGGGCTTAAATCATAGCAGCATTAAACAAATGGCTTCATAAAAAAAAAAAAATGCTTTGAAGTAAAATGTTCAAAATGTCTTAAGAACAAGGAAAAACAAGCACTTGGGTCAGTGAACTGCTCTGAAGCAAACTATTTCATATTGCTGTCATAATAGGAGCTTAAGCAAGGGGCAATCTCCCTTAAGAAAAACAAAATGAGAAATCATGGGCAGCCACTCCTACTCCAAAGAGTTTCATGTGGTTTATGCATGGGAAACTGAGAGAGGCTGAGTATTTCCCCTGTGAATCACAGAGCCCTGGCTGGCATTGGGAACAGATTCAAGATTTCCACATTCTCTATTCAGTCGTGCCATTCTTTCCCCAAAAGCTAGGTCCAACCCTGGGTCTGTAACTATGCTAAAGTCTCCAAACTATAGCTTTGGTAACTTTTCCAATGCTATAAAGCATTTACTCCCGACCTGTTCTCTTACCTTCAAAGAGGCAAACCAACAGTATGCCCTGGGACACCATCTTCTCAATTCTCTTTCCACCGTTGCTCTTCTTGCAGCCAATTTTATTGGTATTGGATGGAAAGAATTGTCTGTAAGCAGGGACAACGCTATTGCAGGTAAATTTAAAGAAGGAAAAAAATAAGTTTCACAGCTGGAAGTACTGCTGAGAAACTTGAGATCTGTTACTACTTAGGCAGAAGACCTCGCACCAATGTCCTTTTAAAATACTGCAAAATGCATGCTGCTCTGCAGCCACCAATTCCAACAGCAAGTGGGCAGCCATCGAGAACATGACTAAGTGCTGCCTGCCTCTTCTCAAAGGGTGATTTGTTTCCACTAATGCAGAAAATGAGTATTGTTCTATTTTGTTTCTGTGTCTTTTCATGTATGCAGCTATCAATGGACTATCTGGGCTCTTTCACATCTCAGAAATGGTTTCGTCCTATTATCACTCTATAGCATTGAATTTTAACATCATGATTTCATTTGTTGCAGCATTTATGGCATTCAGTTGTCCTCTTTTTCTGAGGTTTAGAGAGTTGTTTTATTTCCTCAAACTCAGTGACAAAATCTACCCAAAGCCAGAGCTGTTCCTTGTGTTCTAAATACACACATGAAAAATACCAGCCAATTAGTGCTAAATTCAAATGCGAAAGGAATAGCCATTATTTTTAGGTTATATGTACACACCACTTGCTTCCTTTACCATTTCTGAAGAAAGATCAGCCGCTGCGTGCTCTTAGTACCACTGAGAATACTAAAAAAAGCTGTCACAAAATGATATCTTGATAAAACAAGACGACCTTTAAAATTGAAGCTGTGGAAGCAAACCAGCTAAAAAATGGTTCCAAATGCACACAAAAAGCTCTGCAATGAAAGGAAAATTGATTACTCTCATATTCTTAATTATATTAAATGATTGATACAATTAAAGTAGGTATTTTAAAACAGAGGGACTTCAGAATGTGCTGGCTACACTATTCATTTCTGAGTGAACTTTTGTTTTTTCCATATAGGAAACAATGCTGGAGGTTTTTGATTTACACATGCTTTTGATTTTCCCACACCTACTCTAGAGCCAGGATGAACATTTTCACAGCAGTAATTGATTACTAACAGGTCACTTTAAGCCATGTGGTCTTCCCTCCATGTAATTACGGAGTGGCTCTATGTCCTTATCCATTTAAAAGGTTTCTAGCAGCAGACAACAGCTGGGGGTCATTCTTGTTACTCCTGAGTAATCTTGTTTGGTACAAAATATCAGAATCTGCAAAGGAGCCATCCACTATTTCAAGGTTTCTGTGCACAGAAGCTCTCACACAGAAAAGAGGAATCATTAAAAAATCATGACAACCCCCAAATGTGTGCTAGCATCAACTGTATTTTCTTCTCTCCACATTCTAGTCTTGATATTGCAATTACACACAAGTGGACATAAAGAGTTTGAGGCAGGGTCAGATTTTAGTTATGTTTTTGCATAATGCCTTAGAAAATGAATTCCTAATCCCTGATTCTGGCTGGGTAGGTCATCTGCCCTAAATATAACAAATAACATGAAAATTCAGGCTTTGCTGCTGTTGAAAAGAAATGAGATACTGTGAGGATGAGCAGAGTTGAGGGGAGGGTGCGTGACCTTTTCAGTAATCCCAGTTTGGATCTATAGATTAGTTCTATTTTTTTTGAATATATTACCACAAAAAAACCCACCAAACTAAAATGAGTCAGAAAATTCACAGCATCAGAATTACAGGGTTAAAATTTGAATTAGGTAGTGGAAACAACTCAGTGGGAGGGGGGCTGTTGTTAATTGAATCGAAATCCTGCTCACAGCTAAACATCTTGTGAAACATCCAGCTATGTTTTAAATGTTAGTCACATTCAGGAAGGCTTTCTTGGCTTGCATGGATTGGAAAGGCAGGTGGAGGGTAATGAAGTGACTGAAATGGGAAGTTAAGACCCCCATCTGTTGACAACTGCAGGCTTCCCATGGCCAAGGAACTGAAGCAGGAAAATCTTGCCCAGAGTGTGACATGGCAGGAAACAAATAAGGTTTCTTGTGCACTCCACATTAGTTACTTTTGAAAGACCTGGGATTGAATCACAAGTAACTAGCTGATCAAAATATCCATTATATCCTACCTTCACATTCACTAGTATTGGCATAAAGTTTTTTCTGGGAAAAAAAAATTAATATTGATGTCCTTCAGTTGAGCTGTTGGTGAACTGAAATCACCATACTCTTTCTGGATTCAGGGAACTCCTTGGATGAAATCCTATTGCTTGCTTTCTTTTTCCTGGAAGGATTTCTCCCACTTTTCCTCCCTCTGAGCCCCATGCTATACCCTGAACTCCTGCTTAGCCAAATGAAACTCACCAATGGGATTGCAAAGGGGAGAAAGACAGACTGTTTATCTGAAAAACTACCTAAGAAAAGAGTAGGAAAATTCTGGTTTCTCCATTCCAGGGCAATAAGGAGAGGAAAAGAGGGTTCCCACGACCCAAAACTGTACAAAAGATCAATTTTTACCTCAACAGGAGGGAATCCCTGATGTCTCTTTTCCTGCTGGGCTTTCTGTTTCTCAGGGCCACATGCAAAATCATTTGCTTACCTGTCCCAGGAGACTGAAGGCTAGAGCAAACTTCCCATGCAAAGGGGGTCTGAACGTGGTGCTATTTTCCTACTAAAAGGGGATTTGAGATTTTCAGCCCCCAAAACTTGGTGGTTCCCACAGTCCTTTGAATGTGGGACAGTTAGCAGGCAACCAAAACTTAATCTTCCTTGAAAGGCCAAAATTTCCACCTTGAATTTCTTTCTTTGTCCCTATCCTATTTGTATCTGTGTTTAATAGCAAAGGGAAAACAAAGAGAGGGAGTTACTTGAAGAATTTGAATTGGGATGTCTTTACTGTCTTCAGCTTAATCCATTTAAGAACATCAATATTAAATCAGGGAAAAATCTCTGATGAATACACAGGGATTTCCAAAGCAAATGTTGCATGCACAATTCAAGATTTTTACTCAGGGTCTGATTCTGAGAAGTATGGCAAGCATCCAGTATCCCTTTCCAATACAAGTTTAAAGTGAAGGAGTCTAATAAGCAACTCTGAGATGATAACATTAACTTTTTGATGTTAAAATTCTGATTAACTCTTCCTGTCTGGGGACGAGCAGTTTGTGTTGCCTTTTAGTAAAAAATAAGTAATGTTAAAGAAGTATTTGTTATTAACATCATTGCCAGGGAGCTCTGGAAATACTGAAGAATAAATGGTCCTTGCCACGGATACTACTTTGAATTAATAAATTAGGAATAGGTTTTCCCAGGAATTTACTGACAGTCTCACAGAAACACCCTCCAACTTCTTGGATAACCACAACCCATATAACTAACCTGTTTTTCTTAACCTCAGAGCTGATTGTGTATGGCACACAAATCATCCCTGAAACTAGACTGGTACATACTCAGATTAATGTATTTTTTTGATCTATGTACCTTAGTGCTTCATACAGCTCCATCTTCTTTATAAAACTATCATTAATTTATCTGAAGTAGCAGCTTCTTCTCTTTTGCCAGTGCTACCTGTTCGCTATGTTATGCTATCAGATTGACTGACTGGAGTGCAGTCCCTTGGCCTTACATAGTGGAAGAAAATAAATGGTTGCCTTTGCATGAAGAAGGAAACAAAATGTTCTGCTTGAGGCTTATTTATTCCTTGTTGAATAAACTGTCCACTTTTAAGGTGTATTTACAAGTGCAGCCTGTGCTTTCAGAGGGTTGTAGGATTTGGTCTGCCATGAATACAGGAAAAGGCAATAATTCTTTGCAACCTGGCAGCACTGATTCAGTTGAAACTTTTAAGTAGAAAGAAACTGCATTTTAGAAATGGCCCACCCAAAGTAAAGCCTTTGCTGTGTGTCCATCCTTCCTTCAGCACTTTGGAGCTTAGTTCAAAGGCAGCACTACAGTTCCTAGGATAGCCCAAGTCAAGTAGATTAGTGAGCAATGCAGGTGGATTTGAAGCTCTGAACATCTCTTTCTATTCATTTTATTCTATTTCATCATGAACTTGTAAATTATATAAAAAAATATAAATAAATACACTGTTCCTACAAAGCAGGACTTGTCTTCCCATCTCTGCCTATCTGAACACACAGCCTGTGTGCTGCAGCTCTCTGTGTGTTCAGACAATTAGTGCTGTGCTTTGTATCTGTGTTTGGACCGTATGGCTAAATCTCAGCCCATATGTTACAACAATGTTATTGAAGGTGATTTGGAAAGGCACCCTAATTAAACAGCACAGTTGGCTAGCTAGGAAATTCACCAGTGTGACTTAATATCACAGTATGAGTCAATTTGGAGAGGTGGTTTTATCTGGGGGAGCTCAAGGCACGTTTGATTTTGATTGCTGAATTAAGCATGCAAAATGGAGAATCCATAAGCATAGGACCATGTTTAAAAAAAAAACCCAAAACTTACCTGTGGGATTTAAACTTCAGTTTTGTGTGCAGACCATCCATAGATATGATCTAGAGGAAGACATTCTAGGTCTGCGTATAGTTACCTATGGCAACTCTGACAAGATCACTGATCTGAATTCAAATTCACATCAACTTGCATTGCATAAATAGAAAATCCAAAAGAACAGCTTCCAGTGCAATTTGCTGCTGAATGTACTTCAGATATCACATAAACTGGCTGAAATGAGGCCAAAAGTTTGCAGAAGATTTGTACCTTTGATGTTCTGGTTCAACAGGGGTGGCAGAGTAATCCAGGGAAATGCTGCACTGCGGTACCTCTTCATTGCTGAGGACCTATAAAAACTAGGACCCTAACTACACTACTGCTTCTCTTGGAATTGCAATAATTAGCCCAGTCCGGGTCACAAATGAAAGCTGTAAGCCATCTTCTGCAAGATAATGGGTCATCAGGTCAAGTCCAATAAGCATTAATGCACAGTAATTTTCTACTGCCCCAAATTCAAACTGATAGCACAGCTGACTCTCGACTGTAATTCAGAGGTATAGAGAAAGCACAACATTCCCCCACTTGCAAGGACAAGAAAGAAAACAAACTGCAAAAATACAGGGGCCGCTGACCTTGCAAAACTATGGTTGCTCCAGTCAACCTCTTTTGACTTGATCTTCACCCTCACCTTCAGTAGGAGTGTTTAGAATCAGGGCCCACTGGCACTCACAGATATTGGTGCTTAGCCTGGTTTTGGAGCTTTCTCTTTCTGAAGTTACTGAGTAATATCTTAGTTCTATTTATTAAACACTTTAATTCTTTTAAAGGAAAAGGAAAAGCACAATAGGAACTATTACAGAAGTAACCTGGGGTGACATTTTATCCTCCTTCTGTCATGAGCAGAGAGGCGAAAGAACCAGAAAAGAGAGAAATGAGCCATAAAAAAAAAAATGAGCACAAGATGACACTTGGATCACTGCATGTCGGAAACGCCATACAGGACCAGAACATCGTCTTCAGTCAGCAATGATATCAGTTTGTCAGCGTCTTCACCATTGTTTAACTGGACACAGCACTGCTCAATTATCACCTGTCCATCCCATCCTAAAAATGAAGTTAAACCGTCATCAAATCATCAAATTATTGGAATTCTTGACTATTTTATACACTGGCCACCCTGTCACTGTCATTCCCTGCATCACCCCTGTGCCCTGTGGGATACAAGCATTTCAGGTAAGTTGCAATGCAAGATCTATTGAACCCCAGGGACTGGATAACTGAGGGAGTTTTGGTAATAGCTACAATAAATATACAAAGAAATTCTGAAAAGGAAGATTCAACCAGCATGTGCTAATATGAGGGTTTTTCCATCCTTATAACCTGCTTTGATATTCCCTTTACCAAAACCCTCTTACATTTTGCAAAAGATATGCCCAACATTTTACCTCATCCTTCTAGATTCCAGCTGGGATCAGACACTGAGGTTCTCAGTACAGCAGCTACATATGAAAACTTGCCAGTCCCTGGAAAAACCAAAAACACACCCTAGAAACAGCCTGGATAAGTTTCTTCTTTGCATTTTTTCTATTGCAGCCTTTATTAACCTGCAGCAAGAGATAAATTATGTATGTATTTTACAGTGATCTTGGTATCCAACACTTACTTGCTTGCAAAAGTACTAATGAGTTGAGGGGACCCCATCAAGAGGCATCACACTCATGGAGAGAAGGTGGAATTAGAGTAGGTGGAAGGAAAGAGCTCCTTTTTGAAGCTTGTAGCAGCTCCACCAAGGAGAGACTGATGAGTGGCTATTTGCATTATTCTGGGGGAATTCCCTTGAGATTTTGGTTGTACACAACCAGTTTAAAGGGTGACAGTTTGCTCCACTCTGTTTCTTTCCCCTTCTCACAAGTTCCTAAGGAAGGCACCAACTTCAGCTGACTCCTGCTGGTTTGTGCAGCAGGAGTCAAATCCCACAGCAGCTTGTCACAAACCCCAAAGCACCCACAGACATCTGCAGAAAAGACACTTGTTACAGCCAGCCAGAGGTGGGTAGCGTGGATAATCTTGCCAGAAGCAAAACTCTTGCTAATTCTCCTATTTCACTCCACACATTATTAAACATAAAATATCAGCACAACACAAAGCTCATAAAAGAACAACAACACAGAGACATTTCTAAGATGCTGGGGGGGGGTGGGGGTGGTGAAAGGGCTTTAGGTTCACTTTAAATAATTACTGAAATCCTGAAGGAGAAGCGGTATGTACTGTGCCTCTACATCTATTATTTCTGTCTCCTGCGCCCTTGGTGAGCTATCTAAGCAAGGTAGCAGAAGGTTCAGCTGAAAGGCATGGAAGTTTTGCATCTAAATTTCCCTTCAATATGAATTTGTGAGGACTGTGTCTTTGAACAACACAGTCACCTGGGTTTATTTATTTATTTATTTTAATCTGATTTCTTGCTTGCTTCTTTATGTTCTCTGCAACAGCTGGCAGTACTACTGCCAGATGCCATCAAAGTCTACAGAGTATTAAACAGGCTAGCCTTAACCCTGGGCTTGAAAGAGTGATGATGTCTCAGCAGAGGAAATAAGTGAGACAGAAGGAGCTTGTCAAAGAGTTACAACTTCAAACTAACAAAATAACAAACCTGAGATTCAAAACACTGCTTAGTAGCTCCAACACCAAGCAGATGTACACACCTACATTTTTGTAGTTTGTGTTCTTTCACGGCAATTAATTTTCTTAAGCAATTCCTGGACTTTGCAAAAGACTTAGCTGAAAATATCCGAATTGTGTAGGCAAGGAAAAGAAATGGGTCTGGACAAAGATTTGTTATTTTGATGAAGAATCCAGTGTGGCAGGTAGCCATGTCCACATTGGATATGTCTTCCCTCTGCCGAGGATAAAGCATGCTTTTCTAGAACAGAAACACCCACATTAACATCCCAGGTTACACCCTCAGGTACACCCTCTCTTAACCAGATCAATGGAATTGCAGTCTTCAGCCCAAGCTCAGAGCAAGGCTCAACCACCACCATAACTATGCATCCTAATGTCTTCTCTGCTCCATCAGAAACTGGTACAGTGACACCTATCAGTGGCAGTAATACGGTCTAGCAATATCATTTTCCAGCAGCTGATTCACAGTGATTTGCACTCCAGAGGCTTCTGGAAGTTTCCACAGGGTCCTTGTGGAGTTACCCATTTTGATTCCTTCTCTCAGATGCATCTCATGGAGCACTATTGAAGCTAAGTGGCTTGAAGTTAGCAGAGGATTATTTCCAGGATATTGGCTATTCACTAAGAGTTAAAGCTGATGCAGTGGCTGCTGAGAAGCCAACTGGAATAGGTAATGGTAAGGAGCTGAAGCCAAAGCAATGCAAGCCAACAGGATCACTGGAAGCCAGCAAGAGCTGTCTCTGAGGACTGCCCCACTGCACATACATTTGGAGCACAAAAAGGGAAAGGAGTAGCTCAAGGGCCATGAATCAGCCTAGCTGAGCGACTCTGGGAACTTAAACACTGCTGCGCCACCAGAACTTTGCCTTATCATATCCAAGGCTCATTAAAGCAAAATACTGCAAAATGGCAGAGAAATAAAGTCTGATCCAAATCAATATTTGGAAGACACTGTTGACAAAGAGCATAATATATATGCCAAGCACCCTCTTAGGAACAGACCAATTGGGTGCAAACATTCCTGAATAAGAGATAGATACATTTATAAAAATGTCACTGGGTTTCAGAGCAGCACGAGAACTCCTTACTTTATCAGTTTCCAGGCACAACTCAATCCTCCCCTTTCTCTCTTTTGCCCCCTATGACCAGTTAAGAGCAGCCACCCCTCCTCAGTCTCTCCACAGGAGTTAATTCATTCATCTGTTTTATGCAGACATTGGGATTGCCCTGAGAGTTTCCAAGGTAGACAGAGAAAGTGGAAATAAAAAGCAGCTCCCTGCATGATTTGTGAAACATGCAAAATACAATAGCAATAAAAACAGTAATGAGTTCATTACAATAGAAATGGTCTCATTAGCAGTGCAAACGCCAGTCATAGACGTGGCCAGGTTCCTGATGGTGCAGGGAGTCTTTTAAACACTGCCCTTCCCTGCTCCAGCAATATAAATCCAAATTAAAAACATATAAATCCTCAAACCCTTGGGATGCTGTCCATCCCTTTGCTACCCCAAAATGTGACTGTGAAACAGCACATGGGGTTCAGATGCTCAGTGAGGTAGTGATACACAGGGAAGCGTGCTATCAGCAGAGGTCCTTTCTGTTCAGGCTTTCACTACCCCAAGAGGAGGGGAAAGAGAACTCCATTTGCTGGCAGGAGATGTCTGGAGCAATGCAGTGGGAAAATGTATTTGGAAATACTTTAAGTGGGAGAAAACCAGTTTTCATCAAAATGCTGGTAATGAATTCAGGGCATTTGCAGACGGATGGTAGGAATGGGAATTATAGAACAGCATCAGAGGTGTTAGGCCAGTGAGTTGGGGTGCAGCATACAGATTGTGCATGCTCTGCTGCTTGACACATACCTCTCAGGAAGATGCAATGAAGGATGATGGTATTTGCCTGTGGCTGGAGCATGGCTTCATCTCTTCACCACAGCCAGGTGGTGTGGTTTCTTTGCTTGCGAAGTTACAGGCAGAAGCATCGCTATAGCTGAGAACATGCTGTTCAATGGTCATACTGGGGAAGAAAGAGCAGCCAGCAGATGGGACAAGACTGGGACAAGCATGGGAATGGCATTACTCTGGGGGCCTGGGAAACATCTGCAAAGGAAACTCGGTCACTAATCCTGGTTACTCCTAGATTCCATATTGTGCAGGGACAGAGAGTGCCCAAGCTTGGAAAACAGGCATATTAATTAAAAAGAAAACATTCATTTTACTCTTTATCTATATAATGTCTACATATGCACCACTTGAAAGAGAGGGCTGAGGAACTTGTATCAATGCACTTACCTGTGTACATAAGATGATCTTCTTACCTTAATTTTATAGATCAGAAATTGTACTGCAGGAAATGCAGAGCTCAGTCACAACAGGGCTTAGTGGGCTTTTGGCTGGAGGTGCCAGAAGTAGTGCAGCACCTTTCTCTGGGCAGCAATGGAGCTGATGTGTAATCTTTTCTGCTGGCTAACATCCATAATTCTGAGCCTACACAGCCTGTCCTGGCTCACACTTTTTCCTCATTCCACATTTATATGCCTTAGGGATCAGATGTCACAGGACCAGGGTTTTAGGGGACCTGAAACAGTAGGTGCTGCAGTACTATAGTCCCTCCACACACAAACCTATCCATGACTCTTCTATGGCCATACAAAAGCCCACAGCAGAGCAGGGAATTGAGCCCCTGCAGGTCAGACTGTGCTCTAATTGCCAACCGGTACCCCCTGTATGCAAAATCCTTTATTCACTTCTAATCTAGGCTACCAGAAATGTACAACTCCATCAAGATCTGCAAGGTAATAATGAGCTACACTCTTCAAAAATGTACTTAAGGTTGAAAGTGATTAAAGATGCCTCAGCCTGCAATTACCTATTACTCACTGGTGTTCTAAACGGTTCATTTTTCACATCATTCCAGGAAGTTGTAACTTCTTAAAGCAATGTTTCTGGTAATTATGGGAAAGCAGCAACAGCAGCCACTGAGCATTATCTAATGCTGCAGCAGAGCCAGAAACGCTGCCTTCTGCAGAGGATATAATAAGTGCAAGGACATGGCAGAGAGCGGCAGCGTGTGGTCTGACTGCTCAGCATCTCATTGCCGAGGACTGCTGACCACTTGTGAGGAGCTCAGGTTGTTTGAGAGAAACGCTGGTCTTGGGAAGGCTTAACCCTGTTGGTCTGTGTTTCTGAGACCAGCTGTGGCCTCAGGACAAGGGAGCTCCTGATGCAGGTCAGTAATGTGGAACTTCCTCTTGCTGGGTTAAAGTCCTGCTTCTCTGAAGCTGGTCCAGGAATAAGACTTTTAGGAATGTATTTTTAGGCTTTCTACTTTTTTGACATGCAGTTAAAGTAGCTACAGGAGACGCATCTGACCCCTAAACCTCAACAATCTGCCTTCACCTGCATGGCTTTCAGTCTGTTACAGTTTTATTTCCCAGATTTACCTTGCAAACAAAGTTAAATGAGACCTAGTTTTCTTGTTGCAAAAATAGTGCCACTTTGGCACTACGCTGATAAATACATGGGAGAGCTACCACATTGCTTACATAAAAATAGAAGTATAAATAAATAAATGAAAAAAAAATATCCCAGCCACTTGAGACAACCACTCCATGCCAGACACTGTAATTGCAAAACCAAACACTGGCTGTCCTGGCTGCCTCCACACATTACCCATGGCAGGGAACGAGCCCTATCAATGGCTATATCAAGCTCAACAGTTTGTCACAGGGGAGAACATAGCTTTTAAGGATATGGGCTCCTCTAGCTGGATGCTGCCCTACTTTAGACACATACCTGCAATAAGCAGAGAGCATTAGTTGTACTCGTGCTGTAGAGAACAGACAGGCATTTTAAATCTTGCTTCTGATTTTGCTGCTCAGCTTGTCACTGGGACATCACCACCCACCTTTCCTCAGGTGGCTGTCACCTCTGACACAGCATCACAGGGACGTACATCCTGAAGAGAGAGAAGGAGAGAAAGGAGCAGTGCTAGCAGCCCAACGGTGGGTTGGTGACCCAGGGCTTCCGGCTCTGCTTCTTGTGCCTGGGTGCATCTGGGCTGTGACATGTTTCTGCATTTCCAACGCAGACAACCCTTCGCTTCATTAAGACAGCCTTCATACACGGCCATGCGGTGACTCTCACTGCTTTGGCTATGGAGTTGAAAGCATAGGAAGAAATTAATTATTTACTGCTGGTTCTGCTACACGTTTTGACTTGGAAAGGAAAAAATGTGCAGGCACGTTCCCATTGCATGTCCAGGCTCAGCACTGAGCTCCAACCTGCTCCTCCCGTGATGTTTTCTCACTCATTCATTCTTCCTCCTTTATACTTTTCAAAAACCATGGGATTAAGTGTGCTTCCAGGACAGCCTATATTGCCTTACATGTGCCTGTGGCTTGGAAAGTGGCATGATGCTTTGGTTTAGTTTGGAAGAGGATATTGGTTTAAACAAACTTTATTTCACCCTGAAAGAGCAGGCAGTGATCACAGCTGCTGACTTCATGATTTTTTTCCTCAATAAAATAACAGCAATAGTTTGTTGCTGTTTGGAACTGTTTGGAAGGTACTGTGCACACCCAACACTGTATAAATATTCAATGACTCTATTCCTAATAACCACCCCAGTTACTAATGACAGGAACTTATCTCAAGAATAATAATAATTTTTCCCAAGATAACTTCAGCCCATATAATCTGAAGAATTTATCTCAATAATGAGGGGAAAGATACTAGAAGTAGAAATACAGAAAAAGAAAGATGTGCAACAAGGATCACAGAACCGTATGTCTTCTGTGATAACTGCAGTGAACAAACAAACGTACCTTCTTGCTCAGGTATGCATCTGGAAAAATGAAAACATAAACCAAACCCTAACTTATATATGATGTATTTATGCGAGTTAAAAAACTGGGAAGGTGAGGGTATTTGGCTTTGCAGTCAGTAACTGAGCTACCGGGCTGGTGGAGGGTAGGCTGGAACCCCACAGAACAGCAGTGGGGTTACATGGCTGTAAATTTGGGCAGGTGACAAGTTTTCAGCTCAGAAGCAGCATCCCACCACCGGCTAGACTGTCTGCTACAGAGACACCCAAACTCTGTGAGGGGTTAGTGATGGCTGGAGCTGCTCCACATCTCAAGTGTAACTAAAACCCCAATGGGACCAGCAGGACCGCTGGCAGCAGGGGCAGGTCTCCCTTCCCACGCTCTGCCTAAGGCTGCCTCTTATTCTTCCTGCTCATACAGGTCAGTCAGAGAGCCCTCTGCCTTTAAAGCAGAGAAAGGCAGCTGAGAACACAAGTTAGCAAAAGGAAATGAAAGAACAGCAACTACCAGATGATTAATGCTACCAATATGAACCGTGCTGACAGCTCAGAGCCTGGGCAACTCTGCTGAAACAGACAGACTTAGTCTTTCAAAACACAGGAACTGAAGAAAAAGAAGCTACCCACTGGGTATGTCTAAACCCACAGAAGAGTGATGAGCATGTCTGGATTGAAGGAATTAGCTGGAGAAAATTTCTGGCAATGTTTGCCACTCTTTATCTGGGTGCTCAACATCCACTCAGCTCAGTGAGCAGACTGAGCTACCAGTACAATGTCTACTGGCTGAAAACGCAAAGGCAGCAGCACGTGAACTGGTCTTCAGTTTTTCCGAGTTGTATTTTTTCACCCTGACCTGTATTTCGAGTGATGAGTAATTTTTGTTTTCTACTTTTCCCCTCAAAGAGCAGCAGGCTGCAAATGCTTTGCCCCAGCTGGGCTTTCCAAGCCTCACTGCCTATTGCTACATGGCAAAAAGGCAGCACCATGTACCATGATCACACCCCATGCCATGATCTTACCCCACAGGCAAATCTCCCCTAGACCACCAGCCTCCCATTTCACTTACAGAGTCAGGAGATGCTGTAGAAAACCCAAAGGCATAAAGAAGAATCAAATACACATTGAAATACTTGTTGCGTGAGTGCATGAGCACAAGATGTGCTCAGTTTTCCATTACAGGTTTATGGCATATTTATTCATATCATAAAAACAGCTCCCGAGTGGCAGGCTGAAGTCATTGGCGCATTAGCCCTAGTGTGAAACTTCCCACAAAAGGCAAATAAAGGCTTTCCCCAGGCCTTGGGGTTACAACAGGGATCTGCATCCTGCTCTGCCCAAGAGCTCTGTACTCGGGATTTAAAGTTACCTGAAATAAAGATCTGTACTCTGCAGCCATGTGGTTTTCCCCATCATGGCTGCTGCACAACGTGCACTTTACAAGTGAGGGACTGGTTTCACTCTGTGTGGCCAGGGCACATGCACCCCAGCAGAGACAGAAAAGTAGTTTTATTGCTTATTATACTTCCTGCCCACATTACAATCCCAGGTCACTCTCCTGAAGGGATTACAACACTACTATTGTCTCAAAGCACTTGGAGACCAGCAGGATGGGGGGGGCTGATTTGTAACTCATAGGAACATGTAAGGTGAAGTCCCAGTTTCCTCATGTTCTTTTTCTCATCTTTACATTTGGGGTCTGGTCACAGTTGATTTGCTGATAAGCAAAATAAGAACAGCACAAGCAGTCAGACATCAGGGGTATCCTATTGGGCCAAAGCAGAAAAAGGCTTACACAACATCTTCTAAGATTTATAATTTGGAGAGAAGGAACATCACCTCTAGGAATCCAGCTTTATTGGATACTCTAATCCAGAGGAGATAAAAGCACTTAGTAATTACTGCTGGGTTTTCTTTGAAGAATTGGGTTAAATCTCTTTTGAAAGTAGATGTCTGTTTGTGTTCATTAGATGTATAATTTAATTTATTTAGGATCTTTTCCTCTTTTAAGGTTTTGTTCTAATGATAACTGTGCTTTCCCTTCCCCTTTGCCTCTCTTTTCTCCCTAAAGATAGGAACTTTTCATTCATTTTAGATTCCTTAATTTAACAAGGAACATCTTCAAGTTGATGCATCTTCTTTGGGGCCTATTTTTGTCTCCCTATTTCCCCACCTTGAAAATGTATTGCCTTTATTAAAAAAAAATAAAAAAATAAAAAAAAGGATGCTCCTCTTGCTTGCCTGTTTAATAATTCTGAGATTTATTTG